GTTTACACCAAATGTTCTTAGAATCAAGATTCTACTTTCCTTGTATAGAACTGACAAAAAAAAAATTATTTTTACCCACTTTCCTGTTTCAACCAAATACTCACTTCCTCCCGGCCAAATGGGGGAGTGAAGCTGGGAGGCAGTGAGGGAAGGATGTAATCAGGAACATGAGTGGATCAAAAAGCATTTAGTTCCTATTTTACAAAAGCCTTGCCAATTTATGAGATGATTATTTGAGCTCATCAACAATTTTTTTTAATAATATGGACTGTTGGTGCTTAAATTGCAAATACTAAAAATATATAAATGACCTAACTAAAATATCTGTAACTGGACATTTCCAAAGATTTGACATCCAGTTTTTAATGACACTGCATATCTTGTGACTAAGTAGGCAATAATACTTTCCTCATTTGCCAAAATACATTATAACTTGGAACTGGCTTTATCAACATCTGATATACAGTACAATATTCGACAAGTCCAGCTCAATTTTGTGATGGTTATTTTTGTACAGTTCCCAAAACTGATAGGTTAACTGGATTGTTTATACAAAAACATGATTTTAAGAATGATAAAAATATTTACTTTGTAACCAACTCATCAAAGGTCAAGGAAATCTCAGACAAAGGGCACCAGGCGCATATCTATTCAAAAATTGTTCACCATGAAACAACCGTAAGAAAGTTTTCATTTGCTATTTAATGAAAATACTACGTACGTGCTATTGCCTCGTGGGAAGCTCAAGTGATCACATGCCTTATGTGGTGGGTATAGCCGTACCCCAGGGCTCCCCTACACCTGCTCAGGGGGGGAATCATGAGTGTGGGGGGAAGCCCGTTGGGGGAGAAGGGTAGCAGACAGTACACATCGATACATTCACATAACCGAACCAAAGCTTTGTGCCCTGTCTCCAAATTTCTTGAGCTGACTGGCTTTGAATGTTAATATAATAAACCTTTAAGTCACAACTTCTTTTTCCTTAAATTTAAAATGAAAGGAAATGCTTTATGCTCAATATGTGAGCTGTATTATAATTCACAATATTTTTTTCAAAATCACAGTTACGTCATCAATGATAATAGTAAAATTTCCATTATTTGAGCACTTCAAAAACAATGTCATTGGACATTTTATTTGTGCTTGTGATTGAGCAGAGGACACAATAATCAACCTGATCCCCATACTGCTGGTTACATACTTGTTTGTACAGTATATCAAATCTGCACTCAAAAGAAGCAATATTTCTTGTGTCCTATCAATGGCCGAGATCAATGCTTAAGTGGCCTAAAATTTGTCATCTTTGATGACATATATGCCATGCAGATGTAAACATTTTATCTGCAATATTTTTAAGAAATAAATTTAATGTAGCACCACTTAGCCAACATTCTCTCTTACCAGAAACCATATTTTAAAGCATAATATTAAGACAAAAGGTTAATATGAAAATTAAATTTATATTGTTGATAAAGTACATAAAAAGTAATTACCAAATAACCATCTGATGTTCTCAATATCAGGAGTGCAAAGTTATTAATAACCGAAATTGACTTAGTTGGAACGTAAATATTCAGTCTATAGTGATATTTCATTAAATATCCACTCATATTATCAATGTGGTTTTGATTACCAATTCAATATAAACATATATCCAAAAACTACAGTAGCCTGACTATAACTTTTCACACTGAGAAAACACTATAAAACATTACTGCATGAATGTTAGGGAGAAAGTAACTGGGCTGATACTCCAGTGTTTCTGCCACTTCAAAATAGACAATTCAAGAAAGTAGATGTGAGCAGCAGTTACTCAAGATCTGGTTATGTTTCTTTAACCATCTTCCATCTCATTGTATCTCCTATTATTCTCCTCACAAGATATGCTACACAAAAAACAATAAAGGCAGCTGCTACTATGAACTGGGTTCGTCACGGTCATGTGTAACCCTACAATACAAATGATCCGCCAAACAATGACGTCCTAGTATCCAAGATGGAAAATGGACTCGTGTGAAATAATATAAATGAGTGTGTAAGAGGGGTAATGTGTTTATATGCAGATGTGAATATATGCATGAGGATATATGCACTGTGTGTGTGTGTGTGTGTGTGTGTGTGTGTGTGTGTGTGTGTGTGTGTGTGTGTGTGTGTGTGTGTGTGTGTTATATATATATATATATATATATATATATATATATATATATATGTCGTACCTAATAGCCAGAACGCACTTCTCAGCCTACTATTCAAGGCCCGATTTGCCTAATAAGCCAAGTTTTCATGAATTAATGTTTTTTCGTCTACCTAACCTACCTAACCTAACCTAACCTAGCTTTTTTTGGCTACCTAACCTAACCTTACCTATAAATATAGGTTAGGTTAGGTTAGGTAGGGTTGGTTAGGTTCGGTCATATATCTACGTTAATTTTAACTCCAATAAAAAAAAATTGACCTCATACATAGAGAAAAGGGTTGCTTTATCATTTCATAAGAAAAAATTATAGTAAATATATTAATTCAGGAAAACTTGGCTTATTAGGCAAATCGAGCCTTGAATAGTAGGCTGAGAAGTGAGTTCTGGCTACTAGGTACGACATATATATATATATATATATATATATATATATATATATATGTCGTACCTAGTAGCCAGAACACACTTCTCAGCCTACTAAGCAAGGCCCGATTTGCCTAATAAGCCAAGTTTTCCTGAATTAATATATTTTCTCTAATTTTTTTCTCATGAAATGATAAAGCTACCCATTTCATTATGTATGAGGTCATTTTTTTTTATTGGAGTTAAAATTAACGTAGATATATGACCGAACCTAACCATCCCTACCTAACCTAACCTAACCTATCTTTATAGGTTAGGTTAGGTTAGGTAGCCGAAAAAGTTAGGTTAGGTTAGGTTAGGTAGGTTAGGTAGTTGAAAAACAATTAATTCATGAAAACTTGGCTTATTAGGCAAATCGAGCCTTGCATAGTAGGCTGACAAGTGCGTTCTGGCTACTAGGTACGACATATATATATATATATATATATATATATATATATATATATATATATATATATATATATATATATATATATATATATATATATATATATATATATATATATATATATATATATATATATGTCGTACCTAGTAGCCAGAACTCACTTCTCAGCCTACTATTCAAGGCCCGATTTGCCTAATAAGCCAAGTTTTCCTGAATTAATTTATTTACTATAATTTTTTCCTTATGAAATGATAAAGCTACCCTTTTCACTATGTATGAGGTCAATTTTTTTTTATTGGAGTTAAAATTAACGAAGATATATGACCGAACCTAACCAACCCTACCTAACCTAACCTAACCTATATATATAGGTAAGGTTAGGTTAGGTAGCCAAAAAAAGCTAGGTTAGGTTAGGTTAGGTAGGTTAGGTAGACGAAAAAACATTAATTCATGAAAACTTGGCTTATTAGGCAAATCGGGCCTTGCATAGTAGGCTGAGAAGTGAGTTCTGGCTACTAGGTACGACATATATATATATATATGTACACGTATATATATGTATATATGTATGTGACAGTGTCAGAACATGGAGGAAGAATTGAAACAGGAATTTCTTTAGGTACTTTCATATATTAATACATCTTCAGAAGGAATAAAGACCTCTTCATTCCTTCTGAAGATGTATTAATATACAAAAGTACTTAAGGAAATTCCTGTTTCAATTCTTCCTCCGTGGTCTGACACCGTCACATTTTTCATCACGTGTTAATTTTCATGATTTGCACACATATGTATATATATATGTCGTACCTAGTTGCCAGAATGCACTTCTTGGCCTACTATGCAAGGCCCGATTTGCCTAATAGGCCAAGTGATTTTCTTTATTTTCAATAAATTGTTTACAGTTAGCTTATTTGAATTATTGTTACTATATTATATTAAGAACATAAATTATTGAATTAGTTGAGTTAGTTTAGGTTGGGTTAAGATAGGTTAGCTTAGGTAGGGTTGGTTAGGTTTGGTCATATATCTACGTTAGTTTTAACTCAAATTAAAAAAAACTTAACTCATACATAATAAAATGGATAGCTTTATTATTTCATAAGAAAATTTTATTAAAAATATATAAATTCAGGAAAATTTGGCCTATTATGCAAGTCGGGCCTTGCATAGTCCTAGAAGTGAGTTCTGGCTACTAGGTACATTCTGGCTACTATATATATATATATATATATATATATATATATATATATATATATATATATATATATATATATATATATATATATATATATATATATATATATATATATTATATATATAATTATATATATGTTATATATATATATATATATATATATATATATATATGTCGTACCTAGTAGCCAGAACGCACTTCTCAGCCTACTATGCAAGGCCCGATTTGCCTAATAAGCCAAGTTTTCATGAATTAATTGTTTTTCGACTACCTAACCTACCTAACCTAACCTAACCTAACTTTTTTGACTACCTAACCTAACCTAACCTATAATAGGTTAGGTTAGGTAGGGTTGGTTAGGTTCGGTCATATATCTACGTTACTTTTAACACCAATAAAAAAAAATTGACCTCATACGTAATGAAATGGGTAGCTTTATCATTTCATAAGAAAAAAATTTGAGGAAATATATTAATTCTGGAAAACTTGGCTTATTAGGCAAATTGGGCCTTGAATATTAGTCCAAAAAGTGCATTCTGGCTACTAGGTACGACATATATATATATATATATATATATATATATATATATATAATATATATTATATATATATATTTTATGATATTATAATATATATATATATATATATATATATATATATATATATATATATATATATATATATATATATATATATATATATATATATATATACATACATAAATGTGTCATTTAATTTGTCCATATTTATTTAATATGTACAAGTAATGTCGGCATTGAGGGCTGATGTCCACACCAGAAACAGTGCGACCTGCAGAGATCAGGAAAGACACTATACCAGCCATAAATTATACAAAAACAAAAAAGGTCTCTTGAATTATCTTTCTAGTGTCTTTTGTGTGTAATACTATTGTTGTCTAATTAGCAACTACATTACAGTACACTTCTAGTTCTGGGCAGGGATGTTTTCCATGGAAACTTGCAGTAAAGTTTCTGGCCAGGATGCCCTCCCAGGTACCTTGCGGTAAAGTTTCTGGGCCAGGATGCCCTCCCAGGTACCTTGCAGTAAAGTTTCTGGGCCAGGATGCCCTCCCAGGTACCTTGCGGTAAAGTTTCTGGGCCAGGATGCCCTCCCAGGTACCTTGCAGTAAAGGTTCTGGGCCAGGATACCCTCCCAGGTACCTTGCAGTAAAGTTTCTGGGCCAGGATGCCCTCCCAGGTACCTTGCAGTAAAGTTTCTGGGCCAGGATGCCCTCCCAGGTACCTTGCAGTAAAGTTTCTGGGCCAGGATGCCCTCCCAGGTACCTTGCAGTAAAGTTTCTGGGTAAGGATACCCAGAATCCATTTCCACAAGAATAATAATCTGGACAATTTCCAGTTATTTTAATCATTTTAGGATCACTGGTGCACTGACTTTATAATTCTTTCTTTTCACTTGAAATGAAAAATAAATATTGAAACATAACCAAGACGTTTGGCCAAAATAATGGAAGATATACAGTGCATCCGTATGGTGGTGTGTTAACAAACCATTATGGAGTTGCCACTTGAAGCGATTACATTGCAACAAGACCAGACCCTGGATTAGGATGCCCTCCCAGAAAACTTGTGGTGAAACTTTAAGCACTTCTATGGCAACCTGACAAAAAATTTGAATGATGTACAATAGCAGAGAGAATGCAAATATTAAATATCATTAGGCCATGCTAAGCTTCAAGCCCCTGTGAACCTTGACTATAGTAAAAATTCTAAAATTAAATAATTCTTTAAAATTATGCTTATAGCACTCACTCCCAATGTCTTTGGTATAATATGAAAGATGAGAGGTAAAAATATTTCTTAAAGCTATGACAATATAAACTTTAGTGCACAACATATTCCATTGTTACATAAGAAAATGGAGACATCTATTATATTTTTCAAAATGATGAACACCCACAAGAAACATTATGTTACAAATTACAAGGAACACTAAGTTTGTGGGTTTATTGTCAACGGAAGGATCATAAACCGAAATGAGCATATACAAGTACTGTAGCTCTAAAGCACCACAACAGAACATTTTATATTATAAAAAACAAAAACAAATTACCATTAATACTCTCTACTGGAGTACCACTCTGTAAATCACCCGAGATATCACAAAATGACAGACTCGGCAATTCTTTTGAGTCATGCACTGTGATGCCTCAAATCTACTCTTGAATCTCATTTATATTAAAACAATAATAAAAAGTACAGTACTTCTGATGAATCTTATGATACTAAGTTGTTTCTGTCATTTCTTTCAACCCAAGAAAAATGTTGTCCAATTGACAGTTTTTAAGTTATACAAGCAAGGTTGTAACAATGATCAAGGTAAAATTCTTAATATTGGGGGTTGACTCATGTAGCAGTGTGTTGGAGATGGTCAAAAGTATCAAAGTAATAATTTACATAATCACACACTTTGTCTTCTTATTGCACTTCTTGGGTCCATCCACTGGAGGAGAATCCCGTATGATACGCACAACCTGTGGAGGTACAAATGTCATATGTAACGGTTTGGAAGTAACTCCACACTAAGTAACAATGCTTTTGGAATGTTTTTAAACATGTTTTAAACGATGAGTATTCAAAAAACACTAATTGTTCAAAAGCAGAACTAGGGCTTCCAGTAGTCTGAATGCTATGGGAGAATTCCGTTCCAGATATAAGATTGTTACGATCAGTTACAATGAAAAATAAGAGATGAGCTTCTGAAAAGAGCACTTCTACATATTCTCTAGATCAGGATACGATGCCAAAATTTAAGTGTTGAATTTGACGAAATGCCCTCTTCTGATGAGGATCTCAATAGCTACCCAAATGACCACTGTTCAAGCCATGCCTTAAGGAAATTGCACCAGACCTCAGGGATCCACTCTTGTCTACCAGGGACAGTGCCAGAACCATACTCTGATTTCTGAGATGAAGTGAGAACTAGGGATCAAACTGAGGAAAACGTGACCAGAAAGCACAAGCACAACAAAACAAACCACTGCATCATGAAAAGCAGGTACCTAGCATTAACTAAGCAATGATCATTGCCACAATATAACACACTGAACTACTGCACCTGCCCCACCATGTGGTGGAACCCCTGGTCACCCAGGACTTTGAAAGAAATACAGTACAGTATTTTACTGAAAGGATAAAAGACAGTTACAGTGAAAGAAAATGAAAGGTAAACAGAGGGATGGATAGTGTGTTTCTCTACTGATGTTTTTCTAGCTTAACCCTTCTCCTAGATGATGAATGTATATTGTACCAAGCTGATGCAATGAGCCTACATACCTCCCTTCAGTTTGGACATTAAGTCATATTGGGTGTCTGGCTGGAACTACTCATATCAACAGATCCAAATATTAAATGGAGGTTTGAGCACGACACCAAGTTGAATAATTAAGTAAGAGAAACTTGCATACCATGGCAACACTGTTCATAAGCTAGCCAGTGAAAGGGGAAGGGAGATCTTTTGCTACAAGAATTGGTGGAATGTCACATGTAATCCCAGGGGGACAAGACCTTTGACTGCACATTTAGATGAGAAGGTACTGCACCATTCTTACCCTAGCCTCATGGTATCTTTGGGTGTCAACTGCCAACATAACCAACATAAGCTTGAGCACAGCATATACTACAGTCTACAATGCCTGTCCTCTAACTGGCCCTGCCTGTGTGGGGAGGGCCAGAGAATCCTCCACTCTATTTTCAAGTATTTCTGCAATGGCACAATACACAGCTAATCTTCAAAAGGTTCAGAAGAAAGCTTGTGTTGCCAACTTAGTTAATCTACTGCCATAATATAATAATTTATCACCAACACCCTGGAATCGACTTTTAAGTAGTGTATCTTTATCGACTTAATTACTGTATTGATAAAGAAATGGACAGAGTAACATCAATAAAGTTATTAACTACATTGGAGAGGGAAACAGTGAGCACTGCAGTGTGAAGTCATTGAAGTGCTACAATTCATCACTCATCAGTGGCACGTACAAACTGCCTCCTGTCCACATTACCTGCTCCATGGCTCCAAATATAAAGGTGTACAGTATTTGGAGCCTTATGGCTTCTACAGAAATATCTTCTGCACAGCCAATGCAGAATAATGTTGATTGAGAATGTATGACTGAAGGTGCTCATAACTTAAGTACTACAAGAGTTCATTTTAATTCAGACCACTGTAACCCAACTCTCTGGGTAATTTCCCCAGAATTAATGTGTTGCAGATTTTGAAAATCTCTATAGTGGCAAGACAATGATTTGAACGATTAGATAAAAATAGATATATACTAGTGGTAGTAGTAGTAGTAATTTTTATAAGCTTAGGGGTAGTGTTACATAGAAACAAGAGTTTGGAAGGTGAAGTAACAAAGAGGATAATGAGTGGGAAAAGAGTGGTAGAGGTGACTAGTATAATTAAACGAAGAAATATTAGCAAGATAGTTAAGAAAGGACAGAAATAGCATACTTCTCTGCTCTCTTGACGTATGGTAGTGAAACTTGGGTCTGGAAATGACCAGAGCACTCGAAGTACAAATTTTTTTTTATATAAAGTCAAGTGGTGTATGTGGGATGGTTATAGCAATGATAGTTACCATATACAGGAGATAAAGTATGAGTGAGCGGGGTGAAGGACCGAGATGTGGAGTGGGTGAAGTGTAATACTCTGAGGGAGTATGGTCATGTTAAAAGAATACTCGGAGAATTGTTTCAACAATAAGTGTGTACAAAGGTCCAACAAAGGGATCATATAATATGAGCAGATGACCAGTGTCTTGAAAGAGTGGAACAATATATGAAAGAAAGGGTTGGATAAGTGAGCTTGAAAAGGTGATGATTCATGAAGCAATATGTCCATCTGTATGAAACTTATGCTGTGACTTCCCAATGATGTCCACCTCCAGGGATGGAGTATGGCATCTGAATTATATAGATATATAGTTTATTTTCAGCAACATCTGAAATCCCAATGAAAAAAATTGCTCTTATAACACTTGCAAACCTTATATTTAAATTAACTAATTTTCTCTAACCTAACAAATTTCATTACTTAATTAAGATTTGACCAAGATATAAATTATATATACAGTACAGAAAATTTCCACTCAAGTGTAGTGACTGGTTAACAACCTTGAAGATGCAGCCATTCTTCACTTTACTGTGACACAAATAATGTGGTGTGTAATGCAGTGACAATACACATTTGAGCATATTTTGTTAATTTAACACAGAAGTTAACTTTTAGTACTGTATAACTATATTTTATTCATGTTTCCTGGTACTGTATACCCAGTCTACCTCACTTATCTGGACACGCACTTTTACACTCTGGAATCCTTCCACTGCATGCAATTTCCAATGGAATGGGAATCCATTAAATTCTCTAAACTACTGCAACCAATAAATCTACAAAAGGGGACAAAATAGAGCATGTTCACCTCATGAAATGCAGAGTCAACGTTGAGGGGCGGGTCTTTTGCACTGGTCTCAATATACGAGAGATTAAGTCTGTGGGCTAGTTCCCGTCCCATCTCTTCTGACACTTTCCGCATATGTACCAAATCCACTTTGTTAGCTACCAGCAGCATTGGGTAAGATTCTCTGTGGAAAGAAAGTAGCAATTAGACAGACCATCGAAGGCTTGGTTGACTTGGAAAGGGGCGTATCCCATATTATCAAGAGTGGGATACTTCATGTATTATCTTGACTGAGATGTGTTCCACACTATCATGGAGCAGAATACTCAGTCTTAACAAAAGGACAATTCAGAATTTACATTCTTAATGCCCTTAACTGGCAAAATATTGTATAAACACTCAGAATATGTCAATGGGTGTCTGATGAAAGAAGCCACTCTTTGGTTCTGCTACTGCTACTAGGAGCTGTTAGGGTAGAAGCAGATTATTTAATCTGCCAACAAATCTAAGTACTGTAATTAAAAGAAAGGGAGACAAAGAGGTGAATAGGGGATTCGGCACATAGAGATCTACTCAGCAGGAAGCAACCTTCGATAGACTAGTGGATAAAGAGAAAGTCAAGACATCAGTAAGGTAGAGTAGTTGCCAAACAACTCAACATACTGTTGAGGTGTTAAGAGAATAAATTATAAGAGCTGATGATGATGATGATCAGGATTGTGCTTTAATTAATGATACTGATATATCATTGTCAAGGTAACAGATCCCATAACAAAATTCCTTGTAATCCTTTTTTAACGTTAGATTTACAATAATAATTGCTGAAAATTTATATTTACTGTAAATAGTAAATTATATTTACTGTAATTAGTATGTATAAATTAAAGGCAGTCACTTATATGCAAAGTAGGTAAGTAATTAGTAAGTAAGTAAGTCAATAGAAGGCACCAAGCCGGGAAGGTTATGTAGCACCATCAAATGTGCGGGATAATCAGAGGGCGCTAAATATCACCAAGGATGCCAATACGAGAACAGAAACGCATAAGGTGAACGATATCAAAAGCATCCGAGTCACCAAGAATACTATCGAGAGACTTACATGCAAAGTAACAAGTCATCTCTGTCCGACATTTATACTGTATATACCGGCTCATTAACACTATCAGTAACTTTCGACCGGACTCGCGTCCACTACAAAAAATATTTGTATAAAATTAATTTTTTATCCAATCGACCTTGGGATAGTATCAAAATAAACGCCTTTAGATTGCGTACAATTTGATACCAAAATGAAAGATATAACATGAAACTTGATGTCCGAACACTTGAAAGATTATAAATAGGCTTTTGGTCAAAATATTAAAATATTTGTTAAAATTCTATTTATTGTCCTATGATCTTGGGACTAGTTTTAAAATGTGCGCCTTTACGTCACGAACAATTTGATACCAAAATGAAAGATGTAACACAAAAATTTATGTCAGAACACTGGAAAGATAAAAATAATTTTGTGATGATGAGCTTCCAGAATTAAAATATTTGTTAAAATTCCAGTTATTGCTCTATTATTATGGGACTAGTTTTAAAATACGTGCCTTTTTATTGCGAACAATTTGATACCAAAATGAAAGATGTAACACGAAATTTGATGTTATCAAACTGAACGAGTATACACATTATACTCGTTCCCCATAAAACCCCATAAAAGGTTGATGCATAAGCTAGAGAAACAGGCAGGAGTAACTGGTAGGGCGCTCCAGTGGATAAGGGAGTACCTAAACAATAGGAAGCAGAGAGTTACAGTGAGGGGTGAGACCTCAGACTGGCGTGAAGTCACCAGTGGAGTCCCACAGGGCTCTGTACTTGGCCCTATCCTGTTTCTGATATACGTAAATGATCTCCCAGAGAGTATAGACTCATTCCTCTCAATGTTTGCTGACGACGCCAAAATTATGAGAAGGATTAAGACAGAGGAGGACAGCTTGAGGCTTCAAGAAGACCTGGACAAGCTGCAGGAATGGTCAAACAAATGGCTGTTAGAGTTTAATCCAAGCAAATGTAATGTAATGAAGATAGGGGTAGGAAGCAGGAGACCAGATACAAGGTATCACTTGGGAGATGAAATACTTCAAGAGTCCGAGAGAAAGACCTGGGGGTTGATATCACGCCAGACCTGTCCCCTGATGCTCACATCAAGAGGATAACAGCAGCAGCATATGCCAGGTTGGCTAACATAAGAACGGCCTTTAGAAACTTGTGTAAGGAATCTTTCAGAACATTATATACCACATATGTCAGACCAATCCTGGAGTATGCAGCACCAGCATGGAGTCCATATCTAGTCAAGCATAAGACTAAAATGGAAAAGGTTCAAAGGTTTGCCACCAGACTAGTACCCGAGCTGAGAGGTATGAGCTACGAGGAGAGACTACGGGAATTAAACCTCACTTCGTTGGAAGACAGAAGAGTTAGGGGGGACATGATCACCACATTCAAGATCCTCAAGGGAATTGACAGGGTTGATAAAGACAGGCTGTTTAACACAAGGGGCACACGCACTAGGGGACACAGGTGGAAACTAAGTGCCCAAATGAGCCACAGAGATATTAGAAAGAACTTTTTTAGTGTCAGAGTGGTTGACAAATGGAATGCATTAGGAAGTGATGTGGTGGAGGCTGACTCCATACACAGCTTCAAGTGTAGATATGATAGAGCCCAATAGGCTCAGGAACCTGTACACCTGTTGATTGACAGTTGAGAGGCGGGACCAAAGAGCCAGACCACAACCCCCGCAAGCACAACTAGGTGAGTACAACTAGGTGAGTACATTGGGTTGCAGTGTACAAATTGGTGCTCGTTCACGGGTAACTTTAGGCTTTTCTTTGGGGAGGCACTTAAGGCTTTTGTACATTATATTCATACACATCTGTAGGGAATTTAATTGCGAACACAATGATACCAAAACGAGCGACGTTGCACGAGAATTAAGGTGAGAAAGCTGAAACAAGTATACACATTTAGGTGTCACTGCGCGCTTACCCGCACGCTCGCCCGCACGCTCGGTACATGACCCTCAAGTTTATCGAGCGCCTGCCTGGTGAGCGATAGTGTTAATATTATTCTATTTTGTATTTATCATACTTTTATCATTTCTCCAATTTGCTCTTTGGCCCCTACCCCTTTTGAGGACCAAAAAGCAGCCAAATAGTTTTCAATTTGATTTGTTTATCTATCTAGTAAAAGTATCTAGTAAAAGAAAATCTCTTTACATATGTGCCACCATAACAAGACCAATTTTAATAGTGAAATTTTTAAAAATCCTTACATGTATTTTGATTTCAATTTTCTAATACTGTAGTAAATATGATCCAAATAATCTAACACCAAGGTTAGGGGTGTTACCACCTGTATATCTATTATAAATACCATAAGTGTTCATAATTATCATGTAATATAGGTGGGTGCTATATTAGTGATTGTGTATGCTGTGTGGTATACTTGGGTATAGTGGGAAAGAAACATCCAAACTAAACCAACAAAATATTCACCATTTGACAAGATTGGCCAATGTCAATCGTAACCATACTATTCAATCATAAATGATTTACATCTTAAGTCAATACACGAGACATTCTTAATATATTAAATGGAAATAATGCAGGCACACACACACACACAAAAAAATATGTTCATTAAATATACACTACAAAGCAAACAAGTGCACCAAAAATACAAAACTTGCTACCAAAATGTCACGTTTTCATAAGAAAATGCATTCTGTAGTTACCTGTCAGTGTGAGAACGAGTCTTAGTTTACTGATGGAGAGATGAGCGGGTGAATGCAGTATTGCAGAGATTCAGAGTAGGAATAACAGGAAAGGTACTTTAGGTATGATACTTACAAGATTCTCCTATAAAATGAAGCAGGAATAAGATAAACATGTCATGACAAAAAGGAGGTTCGTGAGAACATGGTCCAACATTAAAGACATTTGAAAACATGAACAAGCATTATGACAAAGATATGCTCTCATAACAAATAAAAATATCCACATAATTAAGAAAGTCAACACACGCACACACACTATGTATCTTCATACATTTAACTGACTACATTTCCACACCGTTTAACCAATATGGTATGGTATGGAAACATTTGGGCGTGGACAAATACTTAGTAAGTGATTTAATTCATGTTACAAAGAGCAGTGTTGATCATACTCAGGCTGCAAACACTCGTTGTCTGCACAATAACACCTGATTAACTACCCTCATAGTGAGACGTAGAAGAGCTGCAATGGATTAACACTTTGGTGTGCCCCGCGCGCCACCCCTCAACTGTGCGATTTGGGTCCCAGCGTTTCACGGGAGCGCGCGTTAATTCTGAAAAGTGTATACTCTCTTCAACTTTGTCTCCTTAATTCTCGTCCTACGAGATTAAATTTGGTATCATTGTGTTCGCAATAGAATTCTCTACAGCACTAAATGCATATAAACTCCAAAAGCCCAGCTAATTACCCACAGCAAACAGAGAAAGTGCGAACGAGTTACCCAGGAGCGCGCAAAAGCGATAAAATGTGTTCACTCTTTTCACTCTGGTCACCTCAATTTTCGTCCTAGGTCTTTCATTTTGGTATCAATGGGTTCACAATAGAATTCTCTAGAGGAACATTAGCATATAAAATAAAAAACCTGGTCACGCTCCACCTGCCGACGAGTTGAAGACGGGCCACGTGTTAACCGCGAGTGAGCGCCCAGACGCCTTCCACCTACACTCCCAATTCCTGCCCACAAATGTTTAGTATTTAGTATTTTAGTATATGTAGTATTATAGTTTAGTATTTTTTGTGTAGTAGTTGTACATCACATAAGCATTGTAGATAGCCATTTGCACAAAATAGATGGTCATTTTCTTCATCCATTTGCGAGTTTTCCTTATGAAGTGATAATATTTGATCATTTGGTCAAAGTGATCAACACCTTTCATGTTTGTATTGTAGTCACAGATTGCATTCGGCATGTTGACAGTTACCAAACAGTCCCAAAAAAATTGGATAAAAACCTGACTTTTGGCAATTATTTTAGTGGATGACGCAATGCTGCGTCATCCCCGAGATTACCAACAGTAAACGGATGATGCAATGCTGCGTCATGCCCGGGCGAAAGTGTTAAGAAACAGGCAAA